ATGACCAGCGAGGAAACGAGCGAGGAGAAGAAATCGGTGGTGAAGAGATCGCTCGAAGTCACCGAAGATTTCGAGAGATGCGAGAGAAGAGTTCCAGCTCGGCCTTTGCCAGAGAGAACAGAACCACGAGAGAAACCACCTAAAGGCGTATGTGCCATTAGCAGAACGAGTTCCTCCAAACCTTCGCTGCTCTGTCCCATGGTCTCGAAAACGGAAACGAGCTCCGCTGTTCAGCCAGTTTACAGCAGCTCGACGGAAGTGCGTCACGTTAGTTACGGAACTCCAGCATCGAAACCCTGTCCAGACACCGGTGTAACGGTATTACCTTGCAAAGCTCACTCCGATCAAGGTACCAAAGCAGGCGTGGTAGTTGTACCGTGCGAAGGACCGAATACCTCTTGCCAAAAATCAGGCGTATGCGTGGTCCCAACTGCCGATCGCTCGGGAGTGTGCGTTTCGCCTTGCTTTGGCATGAAAACTGGAACCTGTGGCCAACCATCTGGTCGCTGCGGCCGAGAATCTGCCTGCGAGATCGATATTCCAAACTGTCCAGAGAGCGGAATCTGCGTGTCACCGTGTCCCGATGGATCCGTTTGCGTGGCACCCTGCTCCAAACCTGGTCTACCTTCATCGAGGGCAAAGCTTCCTTTCCCGCAGATCCCTCTACCCTACGAGGACACTTCCACTGTCTGCTCTCAGAATAAAAACTCCTTCCAGCCTATCCACAAGCCTCGCACTAATTTGAGTGGGCAGCTCGCACGACTGACTGCCAAAACTGGCCAGAACGTTCCCACCGTGCAATTGTACAAGCCCGAAGCTCAGAGCCAAAGCCAAAAGCAAAGCTGCAGCGAGACTAAGAGTTATTGCTGCACAACCCAAAGCTATTGTCGTTCCACCGAAACCCGTTGCCAGTCAGGTGATCAATGTTCGATTAACAACCGTTGTCAAACCGGAAATCAATGTGGAACCCAAAATTACTGTCAGGACGGTATCCATTGTGAACCCTCTAGTAATACCCACAGTTTAGTAGACCCACCAAATTTGTCATCCCACCCGGATCTAGGTACCGGAGTCGGTGGTCTCGGTGGTGCCGGGTCGAAGAGCGGAACTTTCGCTGGTAGCAGCGCGCCAAAGCGAGGAAGGGGCATCCTAAATCAAGCAACTGGACCGGGATCACGATTGCCCCTGTGCGCCTATTGCAACTCTTACGTCAGGTACTCCCCCTTTGTTGTTAGGTGTTCCGTTTGTTGTTTTTTTTTTCAGTGTTTGCCGCATCCCCCTTTTATATTTTCTGTTCTCCGTCATCGAACGACGACGGTTGAGTCGCTTTTCTAGTTCCTCGTGTTTTAAATACCGATCCATCGACATGCGCTTGGGAAGGGACTATCTGACTGATGATGTTTTTAAACACTTTGTTGGACAGAGTTTGGCTACACCTTCATTGTGTACAAATTTGATCCGATCCTCTTATCAGGAGATACCGTTAGATTAGAAAGTCGGTGATGTTTGCTTGTAAATACCAAAGAACGTCTGCAGTGCGTTACAATTTACGAGTATTGTTTGACAAAACTTGTTTTGTTTGGTTGTCTAATAATAACTTTAATTCGTTATCCTGTTCTGACGTGATTAACAATGTTCACTTGTTTGCACGATGTTAACAGCTAACGAAGAAAATACTAATCACAAGTCAAATGGTCTCGTCGTAAAACCAGTGTGCTGTAAAAACGACAAAGAGTGCATAAGGTTCGTAAAATAGTTGTCTTACGGGCAATCGTTCTTTGCTGTGCTACGTCTTGCTTCTTTCGTATCAAAATACTAGCTTCCATCAGCGGCTTGGAAAAATGTGTAATCATCGCGATTATTTAGGGGACCATTCATCACCGCTTTGGGACAAATTTGGTGCCCCGATCATTTCGTCTGCGTAAACACCCAATGTCGTCGACCTCTTCAAGATATCGGCTTTGTAGAAGAAAAGGGCCAACTCTATTGCGAATACTGCTTCGAACGTTTCATCGCCCCATCTTGCAACAGATGCAACAACAAGATCAAAGGCGTAAGTTTTTCGCAAAAGCTGTTTAAATTTGTATAACGTTAGCTTCGAAACTCATCGGTTTATCCGTTTATGGTTATGACTCTAGGACTGCCTGAACGCAATTGGAAAACATTTCCACCCTGAATGCTTCAAATGTTCCTATTGTGGCAAGCTGTTTGGCAACAGTCAGTTCTTCCTCGAAGAAGGATTGCCCTACTGCGAAGCTGGTTGGTTAAATGTTCTCAATTCTTCACTTAAAGGGCCAACTTGAAAGCAAACACGTTAAAAAATTGAATTTCCTTTTACGTTATTGCGCAGATTGGAACGAATTGTTCACGACGAAATGTTTCGCGTGTGGATTCCCAGTCGAAGCTGGAGATCGCTGGGTGGAGGCCCTGAACAATAATTACCATAGCCAGTGTTTCAACTGCACGGTACGCAATTAGTGCGAGAATGCTTCTCGAAATAAACCGATCGATCTCTAGAGGAGAAAGTTAAAGAAACGTATTTTAATCGTTAACGGTGTGTATCTGTGTGTTACAGATGTGTAAGAAGAATCTGGAGGGCCAAAGTTTCTACGCGAAAGGCGGTCGTCCGTTCTGCAAAAATCACGCACGTTAAAACGATTGATTCTTCCGTTCTAACGCACGAGGAAAAAAAAGGGGAGCGTGGAAAGAAAGGAGGAAGGGGGCGGGGGCGTTGGAAAAACAAATAGGAGAAACGAAAAATATTACAAAGAAAACGCGTATCTTAGCTTTACGAGCACGTATTCTTTCTGCACAAATTATAATTTACCGTGATTACTTCTTGTTCTTGTTGTATGTTTTCGATCGACGACAACTAACCCAACGAATTGACGCTGATAAAACCGTCAAATAACCGTAGGACGATTTGCGAATATATTTATTTACGAACGAATCTAATTCTATCGATTAATTGCAATTTCCCTGATATTCGAATATCTTCCGCTGCTTAGAGTAGCAGGACACCTCGAAGTCGGCAAAGTCGATCGAAAATTAGAAACAGTGTCCTTCGTACTTCGAGGATCGCAGTCCCAGAACGATCACGTTCCTCGAATTGCCGTGATCGGCCGCGCTCGTGCTCACTTACGATAAATACTATTTACATGCGCCCATGTAACTACCTAAGTAATTATACCGACAATTACATATTCAGCTACGTTCGGCTAAAATGACAATTATCGCGTCGACGATTATCCATGCCATAAAGTCGTATCCTCGCGGCAAATAGTCGCGACTCGGTATCGAACCGACTTTATAGGCTGCTTGGTAATTAATTCCAGCGGGGAAAGGGGAAAAATCTTCGTCAGAAGCGAAATACAGTCGCGTAATTCGTGCAATTCGTGCTTCCGATTTCGCAGATTAGAGACTTGCTTGAACGAAAGTACAGAAGAAGAACTTCCTAAGAGGTCGTTGCGTCGGCAAAGTTCCTCGAGTTTCGCTGCCTCGACATTCCACGACTAATTGGTGGATCAAGCAGCCGTAAGATATCGATGAGACGCGAACTCCTTGTGCCTTGCGGTTTCGCTTGCGGCGAGTAATCACGTTTCCGTGGCGAACAGGTCTCGAATACCTCGTAAAATCGTTGCCGCAGAAAATTCTGCAACGATACAATAAACACGCCGACTTGGTCTCCTGCTCGAATCACGCAAAGGTCATCCAAGCAATTAGTATTACTGGCATTATCGCATATTTCGCATTACCAAGGTGTATCCAACACGAAAATGTCGGCTTAATCCTTTGAAGATTCGAAGAGGATTAGCTGTCGATGGAAATTGTGACAAGCAACCCTCTTGCGATCTAATTGCCAATGATTCAAAGTATGCGGAAGATAAAAGCTGCGATACGTTTGTCCCTGATTTCGGAAATTTTCCAATTTCGACAAATTTCTCGCGATTATTGGACTGTCTAAGTTGATCACTTCTTAATGTCAAATTTGAAATTCAACATCTAATAATATACGGATAGCTGACTGGTGATTCTGCGTCGTAAGTCACAACGAATATCTATGGCGTACGTGTGGATTACCAATGAACGATAGAGACACTTGTTAAAATCTCCATACATGCGAATTTCGCCGTAAATCATCCAGCGGAACTATGCCAGTCTGAAATCAGGCGATCGAGAACGAGCGAAATAACAGGCTCGATTTTCTTCCAGTCGTTTAGTCGGCCAATCGTTTCACCAAGAAGGTAGTTTTAATTTTGACGATTCACGTTCGCAAAGCTTGCGTAAAATCGAACAAACGATCAGACACGAGGAAAATACGCTTCTCGTTCTACTTGAATAGATTTTAGGTGTCTAAGTATCAGGATATGCGGCAAAATTCAAATACGAAGAAAAGATTGACTTCGAGAATCGAGAAATTCTCGCTTGATAGCAATTGCCATGTAATATTTTAGAAAAGGTTACCGATTTCTGTGCCATTATTACAGGCTCGTGTCGTATAGTAGCTACGATAAGATGATATATTAGGTAGCGAAGCTCGCAAATCGGAGGGAAACGTTTAAGCGTACACTGTTAATAATTTAGTGAGTAAGAACACGCGGTGTTCGCGCAATACGTTGCGTAAACGTGCAAGAAAAATACCGAGGAACCAATTCGATCGAAAGAATGTCCCTTCGATCCTGAAAAGCAATCCCAATGTTCGATGTTCGATCGTGATAGACCGATGCAATATCATAACGGGCGCAATTTACGATTAGTATTAATATTAATCAGATCGACTACTAGCTGAATATCGCACGAGCTTCTGTATCCGTGTTACGTGTTGCTTACAATAAACTAAAATGTTCATGTAAATTATTGTCCAGGTGTTTCTTTCATATCCATTTCCCAAAGGGATCTCCGTTTGCCAGAAAGATCCCGACGACGGATCTAAGATAGCCGCGAGCTAAGAAATAAATCAAGAAACAAAAAACATTTCGATATCGCGGAAACCATTCGTTCAACCATAAATAGCGGTTAGGTCTCCGAAGAGAAAGAAAGAACTCGGACCGCGTACAACGAAACACGTGAAGGCTCGATCACAAAGCATTTCGTCTCTAACCAGGAAGTAACTCCACCGTAAGGGACGTTTCATCGATTTGTCATTAAAGTAACCTTGCGGTACCTCCTACCTACAACGTAGCCAAACACGCGAAACATTTTGATGAATCTTTTTTGCAATTGATACGTCATAATCGCGTACCTCAATGAGCGTATTTCTATTAATATATCCACATAGACACAGATAGCGAAGAATAGCGGTCGCGCTTTTACGAATTTCTCCGGAAACATTTGAGAAATGGGAAGACAGAGAATGTAGACGTGATTTTTTGATACGGTTGAAAGGAACCTGTCATCGCGATGCGCATCGTTGCAAGTTTTAAGCTTTAAACTACACCAGTCGATATTTATGCTATTTCTGGTACAAGTAAATCTGGTACAAATCTCGATGAATAGGCGTGTCGGAAAGTCGCGTGTCCGCAATATCCTTAAACGGAAATCGGTGTAATTCTTTCGGAAGCTCGCGACCGATGAAGCTTCCGGTGTCCTTGCGGGTTCGCGGTGTCCAGCGAAAGCCCATAAAAGCTGGAAAGCGGCGTGGAAGGTGGCATACAAGCAACCTGCGCGCCTGCGACCAGGTCATAGCGATTGCGTAGACCGAAACGTGGCGGTGCACCAGTGAGAATCGAGATTCCGACTCGCTTGCATGCGGGCCCATCGAAATATTTAAATACGAAAGACTAATCTTTAACGGGAATGTCGTTTCGAAGAATAACTCGCTATAATCGTTAAGAGATACTTTCTTGGATATAAAAAAAAAAAGAAAAGAAAAGAGAACGACAGATATAATCGAGATATGTCTAGATTACACGCTTTTTTAAAATCATCAAGAGCTACATGTTGATATTTTGTGAATGAAAAGTGCGAGGTATGATAAGATATCTTGAATTTCTTCTTACTTTGTGTTACTAATTACCTTTCTTCTTTTTTCTTTCGGACTTTTCAAACTTGCCACAAGAACAACGGGAAACCGGTGTTGAACGCTTTCCTAAATAAAAATATCGCTTAACGCTTTAATCTCTTTTCTCCGTTTCACGTAATCAGAGGAACAAAAGTGTCGCTATTATTTCAAGAAAGAAGATCGATTATACTACCGTGATACCACTAATCAGAGTTATCGTCCTCGCGCGCTCTTCCAAAATATAATGTTTCGATATGGCAGTGAGATACTTGGATGGTCCTTTTGTGTTCAGACTCAACGACAATGGTACAGGACCGCATCTTCTTATACAGGTATCGATATTCTTAGAATCGTACATGGCGCTCCGAACGTTCCCTTGAATTTCAGCCTTAGCTATTGAATAGTAGAAGCGCTATGTATGGATGATATTAGACGCTCTTCATTGAAAAGACGAAAATCGAGCGAGTCACGTTTCAGTAAAGTGTGTATCACGATTGCGTGGGTAGTTTAACTCTAAAATGCAATGAATACACGTAACACCGGTAGGTACATAAATGTTAGATACGTTCCGTCACGCTTTTATGTCGCTTGGAATTTGTTCGACACGGTTACAAACTTAGCCGTGCCCTTGAACTGAATACTTTTCAAGGTACGTACGGTGTGCATATGCACGTACATACCTGCAGAGCCAAACGAGATGCGACGCGCTTTTGCGTGCACCATTTTTAGAAACACGGCTATTAAATGCGACATGCAATAATAATAGACGAAGAATAGAGTTGTTGGGGCGCACCGTTACGACGATTCACCTCTTCCTTCCATACGATCTAACACAATAGCGATGCACGTACTATGCAGCCCGAAACAAACTTTCATCGGCAACTTTGATATAATCGTGATGTTCCTCTGGACGTTTCGTTACGTAAAAATTAATTTCTCTAGTCATTACGGATAGATAGACAGACAGATGGGGGAGGGAGAGAGCAGGCTATTAAAACGAAACGGAAACGATTCAGGTTATAAGAATAGAGTGTAAATGTGGTCGATGACCTTCCGCAGCGAATCGATGTTGAAGTTATAAGAAAAGAATAATAAAACTAGGCTACCGTAACAGCGAAAAGAGATATACTCGAATTTAATTGTAATTAGAGGCCTTGGTTCGCTTTTCATATCAAAAGTAACCATTCTTAATGCTCTAATAACACGACAAATAAATCAAGGGCGTTCTCTGCTATTTTTGCACGCGCATTCCAACTTTTCGCAATTATAGAATGCGTAATGTTCCAGTTTAATAGATATTTTGCTCATCGCTTTCCATCCGTTCGAGAGTCACGCGATAAAATGTTCTTCGCTTATTGTTAGAAGAACGAACTTTGATCCGTAAGTAAGTTGATAAACGAATTGTACATATGAATGGCATACTTTGATCACAGGTTTGTACGGAACGGGGCTGGAGAGAATATACTGGCGAAAATAATGTATTCAAAGATCGATGGAATTTATGGTGGCGATCCGGCGGCTTCCCCCTTCCCCATTACAAGCTATTACTCCCATGGCAGGTAATAGGTCGTCTGAATCTCCTATGTTAAAATCGATTCCGGTAGCAAAGTGACATCTTTTCAATCGTATTCCCGTGAATCTTTTAGTTTATCAACAGAATTCCGAAAGGGAGTTCGATCTGTCGAAAAGACAATCTTATCCGTCATCTTAGATGTATGAAGAAGATGCACGGTTCGATCTACGATTTCAGGTATAATCTAGAGTTTAACAAGATATCGTGAGAATAATATTCGATCAACGTTATCAAAAATACAACGCGTTAGTCCTGTAGGATATAACTTGCCATCGGAATATACTAAATTGGCGGAAGAATGCAGCCGCTGTGAACACGACAGAGTTTGGATCTGTAAGCCAGTTGGTCAAAGTCAGGGGAAAGGAATCTTTTTGTTTCGTGTAAGAATCAATCGTGCTACGTGAACATCGATGATTAAAGGATAAACTTAACTTATTAGCTGAACTCGTCAAATGCAGAATCTTACGTTTCTAGAAATTAAGCGATCTTACATACGACAATGCAGCAGTGGTTCAAAGATACATCGAGAATCCCTTTCTGATCGGAGGTTATAAATTCGATCTGCGACTATACGTGTGCGTACCCTCTTATCGGCCTTTGACGATATACCTGTATAAGGAAGGATTGGCGCGTTTCGCTACAGAAAAATTTTCATTAGAACATTTGAACGATCCTTTCCGGCATCTCACTAACTTTTCGTTAAATAAATTGGGTCCAGGATACTCTGAGAAGAAGGAACGCGTCGGTTCTGGTATAAAATCACTGTCACTAATTTAAAGTTTCTTAGATTGTACCATAGATAGTAGAATTCGAACATTCGCAGGTTGCAAATGGACTTTTAGACAATTGAGAAGATACTTCGAACAAGCTGGATATTACGATTGGTTCCTTTGGCAGAGAATAGCCTGTTTAGTCAGTTTAACTGTATTGAGCCAAGCCGCGAGCATACCGAAATCTTCAAATTGCTTCGAGTTTTTCGGATTTGACGTATTAATCGACAGAAATTTAAAACCATGGTTACTAGAGGTTAAGAGATGTCTCATTCGCTTGAATTATTAATGAAAATTATTGTTAATTATTCGATAATCGACATTTGAACAGGTCAATCTAAGCCCAGCTTTAAGTAATGACTGCGAAATTGACTCTGAAGTGAAGAAACCTCTGCTGCATGACCTGTTCGATTTACTAGGTCTTCCAGTATGCAACACCGGTCTCTCACTTTTTACGATATGGTCAACAAACCCGATTGACGATGAGGTTGAAGCGTCTTCCAAGTTTTGTACAAATCGAACCATGAAAAAGAAATCGAAAACTTATCGGGAAACTGATGGTTTTCTAAATATATGCACGGAACTTCGACCTACCGTATGTATCTAGAATAAAGTAGCTATGGACAAATATTGAATTCTTGTTTTAGAAATGCTACATTCTATGTCCATTTTAATTATTAGCTTAAACAATCAACTATCAACAATCCTACAAATTTATGGTCTCGTTACAATCCCTTGTTAGTGGATAAGTATATTCCACGCGGTTTTCAGGGTAATAACCCAGAAAGCAACAATAAAACGTCGATATGGGATAATGGTAAAGATTGGAGTACGCCATGCGCGAGAGAGGGAGGCTGGATTCGCATTTATCCGTTGACACGAATCAAATCAGAGAATCCCATTAATTATGTATCATCTTTATCGGAAACTACACGAATTGCAGAAAAGGAAACCAGAAATATCGTACTTTCTATACAAAAGTAATAATTTCAATAAATTTTTCCAATTTATGGCAAAATATCAGAAAAGTATATATAATTGATTTCCTTTGCAGATATTTAAAAGCTGCCAAAGAAGTGCACAAAAAGAATGAGAAATATAGAGATGAACAGTATAACGCTACATTACGGAAAATGGTGGAATTAAATACCGAAATTTGGCTGCCATCGAAATAACTTAATATATACAGAACACATATTCGGGTCTTTTATCTGCATATTCTTTTTATCATTTAAGCAAATCAGCACAATATGCTTTGACCAATTAAATGATTCGATGATACTACATTTAAGCCAGACTTTTCACAGCCATAAATATTTCTCAATATTTTTAATAGCGAAATATGGTTTAAAATCCTATTTTAAACATAATTGTGATAGAAATATTAACGAAGAACATTCCCATTCTATTGTCGTATATATTCTAAAATACCATATGTGGGTGATTAATATGCGGGATAAAGAAAAGAGACATATATATTCACCAAGAAATTCTCGGTTTATTGGATATTTTCTTGCAAATGTACATTAATTCACTCCCTTTGCTGCTAACCTCTTGTCGCGCTCTTCAGCAATCGAAAGCTTAACACCTTTGTCTCTTGGTAAGCTAATATACGGCTTTGTACCCTTGCCAATGATAAAAACGTTGTTCAACCTAAACGAATGATTTATATATGATATAACAGCCGGCTCAATAATCTAACGTAGCTTAGATTAACTTAATAAACAATAATACTCGTGTTTCCTAAATGGGTAATACTGAAAAGTCTATGTGAAAACAATCAGTGACCAGTATGAAGGAAATTCATTTTGACCAACTTTTGACTACAATATTTTTTATAATATATTATAGCTTCGATTATGGTCACCATAAAAATAAATTTACTCTTTCTTTTGTAAAAATTTGAAAGCAAAAAAGAATGTGCAAAAATCATGAAGTATAAGCAAATAAAGAGTAAATATTTTAAGTACCTTGTGGCAAAAGTATGCCCTTGTGAGTCTTTAATGTGGCAAATATCAAAGGAACCGGGATGACGCTCGCGGCTAACAACTGTGCCTACACGTCCTAAATTTCTCCCACCGGTAATCATACAGAGATTACCTAAACAATAATAATCGATTAATAAGTTTCATATATATTTACGACTAAAAGATATTATACCTGAATCAAATCGAATAGAATCCAAGATTTTGCCTGTTGCTATATCTAAATGAATGGTGTCATTAACTTTAATTAAAGGATCTGGATAACGAATAGTTCTTCCATCGTGCGTTACCAGGAATGGAATACCTTTTGGTCCAGTTTGAACACGTTTTACCTTACACAATTTGTACTGCAATAAAAAATATTTAATTAGTTAAATAAAAGATATCTCATTGAATTATCCATGATTTTTTGTCAATGATTAAATACCTTGGCCTCTTCTGCTGTAATTCTATGAGTGGTAAATCGTCCCTTAACGTCATAAATCAATCGAAAATATTCACCAGTCTTGTTAATGGTAATAACATCTAAAAAGACAAATTGAATTTATTAATTATAAACTACATTTAGTTTTTCATATGTCTTAAATATATTTTTTAAATGATATAAAAAGTGTGCACTTTTTGGGTTATACAGAAAAAATATTTGATTCAATCTGTGACCAAAATAAAGAACTTTTATTTTACTATTGGCTAATATTTGACTATAACATTTCATTTGAGAAATGTTATAGCTTCGATATAGCCTTATATATACTTAAAGAAAATAAAGTGTCTTATGAACTTACCCATGAAACCTGCAGGATAGTTGGGGTCAGTTCTAACCTTGCCATCAACTTTAATCAAACGTTGCATCACAATTTTTGTTACTTCGCAATTAGTCAACGCATATTTCAACCTATTGCGAAGAAAAATAACAAGAGGGAGAGATTCTCTTAATTTATGAGGTCCCGTAGATGGACGTGGAGCATATACACCCCCAAGTTTATCTAACATCCATGCTTTAGGCGCGTTAAGACGCTTCAAATGCTTTTTCGGTCCACGAGCCTAAAAACAAATTTCACATACTTAATTTTATCGTCTCAAATAAAATGTACAAGAATTCAACGAACTTATTAATGTCAAAGATATCATTCGATATAATATTGTCATTCCATAAACAAAGAGGTTAGATTAGAAGTTAGTTTACCATTTTATCTCTTTTATTTCCTTAAAATATAATAATCATCAAATGTCACACTAGAAACTTATTTCTGTGAATAGATTTATAGCAAATATTCATATGAAGTATTGATCTGTTCGTTATAAAAATGTAACCTTTACGCGCACATCTTAACCGTATGTCTTGCTTCATAAAAATGAAATAAATTTAACAAATCATATAGAGATAAATATTCACTTTAATTCATTTAGTTTACGCTTTACTCGGATATTAAAAAATACAACACACTATTCAACCGATGTAAACGGATTTTATGTCAGCAACAAATAGTTGCACTTACCATCTTCGTTTTCTAAATGGAAAAGGCACGTTCACGCGATGTTACTTTCTGCAACGCCACTATAACCAATATGGCGGATACGTGTGTATAACTGGTCGATGCTTTTTTTAAACAACTTATATTATATTGAGTTAAAAATTTCATAATTTTAAAGTAACATAAATTGTAGTTATGCTTCAAGGCATAAATACTATATAAGTAATTGTAAATTGTAATTATATGATAATGTTGTAATCATAAAATCGTACATTCTGTATTATGTATTTTCTTATTTCAATATTTCTGACTTCAAGAATCAATGGTATAATGGAAAATGTAAAAGGTATTTGATAATATATAAATCTTTTAATAAATGGATATAAAAGTATTACAAAATTACAATAACTATTTGAAAAAGATTAAATGAATAATAAAGATTAATTTGATTGTATTGCTTCAACTATGTTGTCCAATAAGTTGGAGGCACCAATTCTAAATAAATCTTTAGATAGCCATTCCTCTCCTAATTCCATTTCAACTAACATCATCCATTCTAAAGCCTCCTGTGGATCTTTAATACCACCAGCAGGTTTTAAACCAACCTAAAATAATATATTTCAATACCAAATGTAAGGCATGAAATATTGCTTTTCATTTTTTTAAACAAGAATTTATACCTTTCTCTGTGTGGATTCGTAATAATCCTTGATTGCTTGACACATAATAACTCCAGCAGACAAGGTAGCATTTATTGCTTCTTTTCCGGTAGATGTTTTAATAAAATCTGCTCCGGCCATCATTGCTATCATAGATGATTTATATACATTCTCTAAATTACCTAATTCTCCTGTAGCAAGTATGACTTTCAAACATTTGTTACCACAAGCAACACGAAATGATTTTAGTTCTTCATATAATTCTTTCCATTGTTGCATCAAAGCCAATGGTCTGTTAATAACAATATCAATTTCATCAGCTCCTAGTTCAACACCTATTTCTACTTCACGAAGACGTGTTTCTAATGGAAACTGTCCAGATGGAAATCCTCCGCCAACTATTTAGATAACAATAATATATTTTGTTATTTTTTAATTTAAATATTATTAGAAAAGAACTTACATGTATACTTACCAGTAGCCCTGGAAATTTTATGTTCTTTATCAAGTTTTTCCAATATAGACATTGCATCTACAAATCTCATGGGATATACATATACAGATGCAGTATGCAAATGTGAGTTACTTGGTAACTTAAGAGGGTTTACTGCCTGTAATTATTGAAATACATGAAAGTCAATATTTTTAAAGATGTCGTAGAGATCAAAATTTTTAATATAACACTAAGTATTACTTTAGTACACAAAGTTTCAATTTTTGAAGGTGTATCATCACCTCCTAGAGTAGTTAAATCTATGAAACCTATTGCTTTTACCAACCAAGCAGTTTTAACATGATTTTCCAATTTATTAACTCTATAACGTATAGAATTAATTTTTCCATCTATTGCAGATTGATCGAAATTCATTGTAGCTAAAACATAAGTATATAAATGTTAAAAACACGAAAAATTGTAAAATTCTTAAATTCGATTTACCATTAGCCAACTTTTGAATATCCATTATACGTCTTTTAATATTTTCGGAAATATTTAACCTTACTTAAATGCGTAAAATGCGTAAAAATGAACACGTAAGAAGAGTGTAAGTGCTTTAAATTTAGGAGCGATATCAATTAGAAAATTTTTTTAGTACTTGATAACATTGCAGTGACCTATAATTTACGATTGTTGGCAGATGGTACAGTAAAGTATATAAAGACTCATATATGTGTGCATTTGACAACATATCATTTCTCAGTTACTTTATCTTAATAAACCTTCTCCCACTTTATTCTGATATTGTATATTGTGATATATACAAATGCTACATTATAGAATATATCACATATACCCCGCGAAAATGAAAAAAAAACTTTTGCAAGCTAAAAAATATTCGTTCTAAAGTGAGAATGACTGATCAATATAATTCTTAAATAATAAGTATTAATTTTTATTTATAAAAGCATTAAGAATATTTTCCTTCAGATAAAGTCGCAATTGTGACATAGAGGCTGTCTTGTCATGCCTATTTCTAGAATGAAGGATTGAAATTGTCGACTTTTATTTTACAATTATTAATACATATTAAATATTATTTGATATCTAAATTTATTATAGCAGTTATTTATTGCTGAATATTATGTATAATAAAATATATAATAAATAAATTTACATAATAGTAATAAATACTATAAATATTTTCTGTAATATATAGCAATGTTTGATATAGCATACTCGAATGTACTTGTTACTTTTTCGAACTAATAGTATTCTTTTTTTGAAAATTTATTACCAACAGTTTGCAATTTAGTCATCAAAATTAAAAGAATTTCTAAACAAAACTACTAAAATTTTTACTAATATAAATTATTATTATCTATAATGTTGCCATTGTTCCCAATACTGGGCGGTTTGCATTTCAGAAAGTCGAGATACAGTGCGATCAAAAGCAAAAAGTTCTTCTTCTCCAGTAAAAAGATTAGATTTGTAATTGTCCTGTTGAAGATACAAAGTTATAAAATTATATATCAGTTAATGAAAACAACAACTTTTGTTTCATAACTTACTGAACCGTGTGATATTTTTAAATCATCCATTAGCATTCGTTTTTCATCTGTATATTCACTATCTCCTTGTGGGATAAAAAGTTCTGTATGTGGAACAGCTGCAGATATTACAACTCGTACCTGACAAAAATTTTTTTTTATTTAAATATAAACATTTATAATGATTTAAATTGTTAAATATGAAAAGTAGATAGAACATATGTAAACTTACCTTATTGTCATATAGTGTATCAATTAATGTAATAAATCTTCTGGTTTGTGATTTAAGACGAAAATCTAGTTGTGGTACATCTCTTATGATAACTGTATGAAATGCTTGACTTAGTTCTAAATAATCACTAGCACCAAGTGGCTGCAAATAAAACAATTGCTTGCTATATTATAAATATCTAATGAAAATTTGTAACAACCTACTCTATCACACAATTCTCCAAAAGTTGAATCCAACACTTGACCACAGGTTCTTTCAAATGTAACATTACGACCTCTTATAGAAATAGTTCGAGACCTCACAACATCATTTTCCTTTGAGCATAAATATTTAAACATTTTGTCCACATCACTAGTTGCATCCTCTCCTTTTCTATAAAAATTTATCATTTTTTAGAGAGGAGTATTTTATTATATGCCTTATTTGTACATTACTATACGTACATGAAATAAATTTTTTCATCTCTAAGTCCTGTTTTCAGCCTATAATCTACCCCTGAATCTAGGGAATTTATAACGCAATAATTTTTTAAAACCTGTATAAATGGAATAAAATTTCCTCTCTGTAGCCCATTTTTGTATAAATCATCGGGTGCTCTATTACTAGTCGCAATAACTATTACTCCATTATTAAAGAGTTCAGTAAATAACCGTTTCAATATCATAGCATCTGCAATATCAGTTACCTATATATATATATATATAATATTTTATTAATACATGTTACATTAAATCATAAATAATTAATTGTATATTTCAGAAGTGAACCTGAAATTCATCAAAACAAAGTAACCAAGCTTCTTCAGTAATACTTTTTGCAACTGGTGGTATTGGATCAAATGGTTGGAGTTTAGTACTACTAACATCTCGTACAATATTTTTCTTTACTTCGTGTACTTTATTATGTACATCAAGCATAAAAGAGTGAAAATGAACTCTTTTTTTATTCTCGATCTAAAATAATACATTTCAATATAATTACCTGTTTCCTTAATTAAAGGATTTATTTTTTAATAAGCTGCATATGGAAAACCATTTATATTATTTATAGTAATTATAGTATTTAGAGTACCTTTATCATAGTTCAAAGAAAATTTTTTTGTCATCAGTACCTTTACTATATAAAGTAACTCCTTTCTTACATTAATTATTTAATTATGTGCATGAATTATGTTGAAAAGTATTATGAACTGTCAAATTAATTCATAATACTTCGTGGCTATCCATGTGCAATAATTATATGAGCTATAAACTATAATACCTGGCAACATTTGTAGAAAAGATCCATCAACATTGTTTTACCTCCACCAACTGCTCCATGAATATATAGTCCTTTTGGTGGTTGTTTTCTTTTCCTACCCAACCATTTATCTAATAAGTTGAATTCTTCAGGTTTGTATCCATTTATTTCTTCATAAATGCTCTGCAATGTTTTAGCAACTTTCATTTGATGTTCATCTTCCACTAGTTCTCCTTTTGCAATTTTATTTTTTAACATAACAATTGGGCCTTTCTCAATTAAACTAACATCATGAACATATCCATGACGTTGAATATGTTGTACAAATTTGTTGGACAAATTTGTAAAATAGTTTTGATTAAAAAATTTTTTTGGTAACAGGTAAGTCATCATGGGAAAGATGTCCTAAAGGAAAGGTCATAATTTATTATCTATGTATGTTACTTATGTATATTATTAAACGCCAGATTAGGTAAATACTTATTCTTACAGATAAATATTTGACAAATATACATTTAATTTAAAAAATTAACAAAATATAGAAAAACTTTCTAGTGTATATGATCAAAGATATTCACATATTTATCAAATTTACGTTTGACAGACAATCAGCATGTTAACCTTTATATTGCATATGAAAATACATTACATGTATCTACCTTAAAATAGAATACCCACACTAGGAAATTTAAAAAGGTAGGTGTGAAGCATGATATTGATAAATATGAAGAATTGAATAACTGAAAAATATATAATCAAATCATGTACTTACACTTCTGTTTTCTTCCTTCGTTGTTATTTATTAAAACTGATTCTTTCATGATATTTTAATATTATTAGAAAGAAATTTCATGTACAAAGAAATTCAGTTTGAAAAATTATCTACCGCGCTTTATGTTATGACGTAATTAAAAAGGAAATATGGAACCATCAGATGCAATTTATTAATGGCTGTTCATATGGGTCCATATTGATGCATAAAGCTTTATTCACAAGCTAAAAACTAAGAAGGTATAAAATACCATTTATTTTTCAATATTTTAATTAAATAAATGTTCTTAAGCCTAATTATATAAGAAGTAATACGTTTAATATTTTAATTCAAAATGTATAATTTTATTATATTTTGTATATAAATATCTTAACACTATTTTCAAAATAATTATTTATAACATTTTATTTTAATGACTCGCACTTTGCTGTAAATTAGGAATGTAATACAAGAAATTTAGGAACGCAAATTCTATTAATGTTAAAATAGACATGATAAATTTTCTGAATTTCAATCATTATGATAAATTTTAGAACTGTATGGAGCACTATACATTGGCAGTCTTCGTTTGTCAGGATTGATTCCTTCTTTTAACGAATAATAACGTCTTTCAATAACTTTATCAAAAAACCTACTCAATTTAACAGAAGAGCTAGAACCAGCAGCTAATGATCTCACTTGATGACAATCCTAAGAAGAATGTTAATTTGAAAACAATAATATCAGTGTGTAATAATTTAAAAAAATAAATGATATACCAAAAATATTTCATCAGCACCACATTCTTCTGCAATAGTTGAAGAACGTCTATGTACATTTGATCTGACTTCCGCAACTAGGTCTAATTTTGTACCAATAACTAAAATTGGTATCTAAAAAAATAATTTTATTTGCACAAAAAAACATGATAAAAAATTATACAATTATGTCAAAAATAATTAACATTACCTGTGTAGATCCTACAAATTTTTCAGGATCAAAATCATCAAACGGCTTCGATTTCATATAATTATTATCTTTACTCAAAACTTCTTCAAGCCATTTTTGAAGATTTTGCTGTGATTTTCTGTTTGTTAAATCATGAACTAATATGATACCTGTATTGTTAATAATGATTGATGATTTCTAAATTTTTTACTTTAGATACTTAATGTTATATATTTCATATTTATACCATTTGTAGGATTATAAAAAACAGATCTTGTATTTTTATGACTTTGACTTCCTCCAATATCCCATAATTCAATAAAATATCTTCTCTGATTGGGAGTTCCTTCTTTATATTCATGTAATTTAACTTCTACTGAGCAACCTATAGTCCACGAAGGATTCCTAATAGGTTGTTGTTGACATATTAAATGTGTTAATGATGTTTTTCCAACGCCTAAATATAAGAAAGGAAGAATATTTAACAATTATTTAATCGTAAGGAGTTACATATACATAGGTTTAAAAAAAAAAAATAGATAACCTACAAATAATGTCATAAAAATATGTATGAAATACATCAGATATAACTTTTTATAAATTAAGGAATTAAATAAGCTTGAAAAATATATTCTAGTAATAAACATGGCATTTATGCTGTAATTAACGAAATAACACTTAATAATAGATAGATAAACAAAATAACAGATACTGACAATAACAAAAAGATATTATAGAATTGCTTCATATACATATCCTTACCAGAATCACCAACAACAATAATCTTAACTTTATCGATTGCAGCCATCAATAATTTTTATGAAAATATCTAAAAATGTATCTTTTTGTTTCTTTATTTCTGTTGTTTGACAGCTAGTCATTTGATAATTTTCTATTATGAATACATAACCTAAAAACTATTTTACTCATAAACAAGCGTCCGTTGGAACGGTGCTTTCTCATATTTAATCAAACAATGAAATAATGTATTTTGACTCGTTAGTTTTTTACTTCTTTTGAGAGAACATACAATTAATATTTGTAATTGATACATATTTTAATTTGCTTATACTTGTATTTAATCAAAATATTTAATGATAAATGAACTATTTAAATTACTTTAAAGGTTAGTATTTTGTTACAAATTACACTTAAAATAATAAATTGTGC